CGGCGCGTCACAGAGAGTATTACTAAAACTAACATATTACCTAGCATCTTGAATAAAACCAGAAAAGAAAAAAATACCTGATTGCGAAATCGTGTGAGCTTGTCCACGTTCCATTTTACTCTTGATATCCCTTGCAAGACAGAAAAATGCTTCTTCAACGTTGAGATTCGCTTTTGCTGATGTTTCCATGAACTTTGTGCCATACTCGATTGCAAGCTGTAACTGGGAAATCATCAACAATGAATATTAGCTACACACTTACGAAACTACAACTAGAGGCCTATTAAAGAAATATGTAAAACAGAAGCATATCGCCATGGAACCACGCTTTTTCATGTTCCCACAGCCTCAGACAGGAGTGCACGATAGAGAAAAGATAAGCTCTGCCAGTTGAACAAGCAAGAAGGAATCAATAAAGCATGTCATACTGGTAATCACTGGGGATTAAGTTATCGCCCCATCCCCTTCGCCCGTAATTATGATACTTGAAATCCCTGAGATCGGGTAGGCGTGGCCGCATGTTTCAACTTAACCTGAAGGTGTCTATGCTTCTGGTGAGATATTTTCATCTTGACACAATTGTCGTGTCTCTGTCCAACACAGAACAAGATGACAGTTGTCCCAGACTGGAATATTCCACGAGTAACCAGTTCTGCCATGTTCGAATGCCACGCCTACTCTGGCTCAGGGATAAGGAGTGTGTATAGTCGCAAAATAGCATAAAAAAAATTGCTAGCCTTACACCTTATTTCGCATGGATTGAAAGCGTATGTAGTCACCCTGGGAATTCACATCAGGCACTTGTCTCTGTACCTACACCGCCAGTATCCAAATCTGCCAAACCGACGTGCCTGGATTCCCAGGGTGCTTGACGGCACTTGACCTGGAGGCTGGAACCATGAGAAGCAAATCGTGAACTACAGCGACGTCGTCTGGGCATTTGAAGTACTGATGGGTTCCAGTGTAGGAGCGAAGGTCTCAGGAGACTGAATCTACCTCTAGATTTCCCAAAGATGCTAAAGGCTGGTTCAAATACCGCAGGCCTGTTTGAACTCCATGGTAATGAACGTCTTCACTTTCTCGCGACAGTACAAAAAAAAAGTGAAAAGGCGTGCACTTGCTTGCTTAAGAAGGCCACCTCATTATTACAAATATTAACTTTGAACCTCCCATGAACAATTCTCACTCTGTATGACGTAAATTTGATGGTGCGCGCCATGGGCTATTAAATTTCGCTTCTCACCCCACTAGTTTTCAAAATCATCATCCACGTCTGCTCAATCATCACCCTCTACCTATCCACGCAGTGCCGAGATGGCGGCCAATTGCGACCGCCTACTGTTTGTTACTGGAAATCAACCCTATACGAATCTTTCCATTCTTTGCCATCGAAACGCCAACATAAACTTGATACTAGGTCACCGCGGGCTGTGCGCTAATACAGAAATTGCTCGTCGTCACGTTTTAGAAGTGACATGTGACGCTCTGGTGAACGACACCTCTTGCGTGATGGCGAACGTGCAAAGTCGACGCCATGAGTTTGCAAAGGAAGGCTTTTCCAAAGTGGTAATACCAACGAGGATGGTGTACTGCCATGAGGTTAATAAAAAAGGAAAGGATAAAAACAAGTTAAAACAAACAAAAAACAAGTTACTAGCATCACTTTGAGATGTCTCACACATGTGACTTTCATTCACAACCGTAAACGGCTTCTAGAGGAGCATTTGGCCAGTGCGGTGACTCGCACAGGCCAGCCAAAAACAATTCAGGGGTTCACTCTCCCTGCAATACTAGCCGAAATAAGTCTTTCGCCGGTCAAACTCACTTTGTCGGATCCGGCCACCGCGCATCAAACCTGCACTCAGAATCGTAGTGAATTAGTAAATACGATTTGGCCCATGCAATGACTTGCACAATTCAGTGTTCTTATCGTTCCAGATGGACTAATTGATCACATATACTTACAGTCCTCCGAGCAAAGAATGGCTTTCGGCCTTGGACGTGGCCCGTTCCGAGAACTTAACGTCCCCCCCGACCGCACGCGTTGGCTATTGTGTGCAACATTTCCATTGACACACCCCAAAATACCATTTATCCGCCTTGGAAAACAAACCTAACAGCAATTTTTGACCTTGGCAGATTCAGTGTCCCGGATTCACAAGGCCAGCCGTAGCGTTTTCTGTGTCAGGGAAGCTAGCACGCGGGAGAGTAAGCCTCGGGTCTCGCGGATTTCAGGACTGTGTGGGACCGCGGACTTGGAATCTCGCGGTCGTCGCGGTACCCAGGGTGTGGAACGTAGCGGGTTTGCGGGCAGCGAGTTCCCGTCCAGAGTGGGGTGTTGCATCAGGCCGAGTCGTCCTGTGGCCGGCTGAAGTCTGGCGTTATATATATCTTATGTGTGGTGACCGAGCCGTCCGGTGAACGTGGGCGGCCTGTTGGTGTGACCCGGGCACCGAATCCGCGGGAGGACTCCCATGTCCTATCGCCCATCGACGAGAGTGGTTTGAAAAACCTTCGGCTTCGCTCAAAGCTCAAGCCTTGGCCGTTGATCAGTTCCGTTTGGGACCAGCAAGAAGCCTACCTCCATCCAAAATCGTTGCAGTACAGTGAATACGACATGGCCTAAATGAATTCCGGGGGTAACCCAACGTTCAAATGTTTTCATCCTCCCGGGCGAGTCTGGTTCTCATTTATCTGTCCAGGGTATGGAAGGCTTACAATTAGTGTGCCTGGCGGAAACCGATCTGAGATTCAACTGTGCGTGGTAATCGGCACCCTTTGTCACTAACAACATTCTGCAAGATGTTGGGATAACTCGAATGAAAAGCACGGCCTCTTAATAGATGTCTCGTCCCCAAGTTACGCACCAGGTAACAGCACTGGTGGAGCCGTAAAAGGTTAATTGGTTTCCTGGATATCCAATTTCGTTTCAAGCTCCTGAGGCTTGCTGCAACTGAGGAATACGACAAAGCTTCTGCCGTGCAGATTACAAATAGGAACCCTTCGACCTACTTCTGGTCCTTGACAAATTGGTGGGAAGCCTCGGACTCAAAAAAAGGGTTCCGTCCTAAGGAACCTTGCACGGCATGGACTATCGCAATTTTGAAAAGCACAGTGTCCGCAAATCTGAACACTGCACATCTTTGGGAAGAGCTGTTATTTCGTGAAGGTTCCATCTCATCCAACGGCAAAACGCATTGTTCAACACAGAACTGAACTGTGTACGACAACATGCTGTTACAGTGAAGTGCCATAAAATGATGCAAACAAATCCCAGACATCAAATAACGTCGATATATGAGTAGTAGACGATGACGATTCAACGTACATGAATCGATTGCCAACTGTGACATATCGAAAACGGTGGAAAAAGACCACGTTCAAGGTGATGAAGGTATAAAAAGTGCGGATTAAGATCATATGGAAGAGAATGCGGCATGCAGTTCCATTTGGAATCGTAAATGCTCACTGATGTGATGTGGTCTATGCAAATGACTTGAATGACGGACGGAAGCCAGGTGATGCAAAGGTTGGTGTTCTCGTACTCAGATGAATTCAATACCAATTTACCATCCAATGAGGGTACGGCTGGGTTGGCTTGAGCGGGAGCTGAGCCGGTATTCGACCTCTGGACCGCGCACAAGGTAAGCGTGCCGTTTGCCACTACACCACTTCGATTAGAGAGCATCCGCAATCGTCTGTAGCATGTTGTAGAGCTCAGAGCGATTGGATCATGTGGTAAGTGGAACGCCAATCAAACCCTATGCACAGGATTGAAACCGGACAAGTTATCGAAATTTTGCCGAGTTTTCTGAACCTAGCCGCCGCATCGCTGCTACTCATTCCAAGGCATTTTTGATAAGACCTTCCCCTACGAAGATCTCATCACCGCTAACCAGGATTGGTAACGATCGATCGAGGAGGAACTAGCTTGCAAAGGCGGAGTTAGTTTATCAAGGCCTAACCCGCCCCATTTACTATGCGCTTTCCAGTAGCAATTGTGGGACATACTGTGATTGGGACTCCGCCATATTGTACACTAAAGGATTTTTGCACCCTGGTGATCGCGGATGCTCTCTTCAAGGAAAGAGAAAAGATAGCATTCTATACCTGTTGACCCCTCTCCCTTGAAACCTGTCGCTTGTCTTCCGCATCACATTTGTTTCCAATAATCATTCTTTCGACGTCCTACAACAATTACATGCTGAGCGAACATTTTGCATGACCATACGTGGAAAATCAGAAATGACGATAAGAAACAAACTTGGGACGCATGCTCTTCGATGTTTCGAATCCAGTTCTTTATGTTATCGAATGATTTCTCGTTTGTAATGTCATAAACCAACATAATACCCTGAAAGATCACCATGTTGCACAGGAAAAACAATAAGAAGGGGGGAAAGTACCATCGCTCCACGGTAGTATGCTGTGGTGATTGTTCGGAAACGCTCTTGACCTGCCGTGTCCCTGAATCGGAATGATTTCGAATAAAGGAAAGTAGAAAAGTTCGAAACTATTATAGCGTTCGATCTGCAAAATGCGGAAAGTAATGTAGAAAACAAAAAAAATAGGATGCAGTCTAATGCCGCTCTTGCTTTGACCTAACAATAAAAAAACCAATGAAAAAACAAATTCAAGCAGCCTTGAATATTCTGCTAGAAAAACGATGAATGTACTGAAACTTCCTCTTAATTTCGTAAGAAGAAGCATGGCGACCTTCTTCACAGAAAAAAAGTGAGCAACATTTGTTGGCACAACAAACTTGAAAGTAACCCTCAACAAGCTTGTACAGTAAAACAGGGACAATGTGTAAAAGTGCCTCGATTTCTCGACAGCCCTTTCGGTGTAGAAAACTTCACAACGAACTCCAACATTCAAGAAGAAGAATGGCTCAGCAAACTTGGAAAACATACTTCAGATTAGAACTTCAAAATGTATGTAGATAAGAGCTGCTGTTGTGACCTATTACACTCCCCCTTAGTTAGTATGGGTTTTTGCAAGATGGACTCATAGATTCCTTATTAATGAACTCGCAGGTATATAGAGGGTCTTCGCCGTTGATCAATCCCTTTGTGGATGCGGCACGCATTCTACTTCCATTCAGAATCGTAGTGGCTTATTGAATGCGATGTGGCCTATACAATGACTTGCGGGGGCCAGCCGATGTACAAGTCAGTGTTTTTATCCTCCCAGACGAATCTGGTACCAATTTCCTATTCCCTGGGGGTAGAAAGCTTGATTAGTATGGGTAGGAGTCGACAGGGTACAGCATCGTTGTGTGAAACTTAGGAGGGTCGTACTATTCTGGTGTGGAGGGAGGTCGTATGTGCGTTGAGAAACATTTTCCGGTTGTTAACGATCGAAGATTTTGCCTGTTTCATGTGTACTATGCATCTCCTCCCGGACAGCAAAATTTTCGGGGAAATCAAGAAAATTCTCGGTAAATTCCAGGGAAAGTGGTAGAAGTTAAGGGTGGAAAAAACTGGAAAATGTGGGAAATCGGTAAGTAGGTGTAGCTGAGGGTGGTCGTACTGACACCCTCTCTCGGAGGGGAGTGCCGTACTTACACTAGATGGACTTACACTAGACACATGTCACAGATCACGATGTTGTAGCCTTGGAGTCGATGCAGGGTTTGATCCCAGAACCGCGCACGTGGTAAGCATGCCACTTGCCAATACACTACATCCGCCACTCTATAGCTACACATTGGCTTGAAACTTTACTGCTAATCTACCATGGATTGCGCAATCGCTCGGTGAGCATTAAAACGAGCCCATCCGAGTTCAAGTATGCATTTTGCCCATGGCTCAGCATTGTTGTGCTACGATCACTTCAATACGAAAGCGTTCTGCTCATGAATACTATTCAAACCACTCCAAGAAAATCTGAATTACTCGGCAAAATATTCTTTGCCTAGAAAACAACCTAGAGGAGGATCATGCTATCGCACCCACTGAGGCGGTGAACAAAATTTGTTGTACGGAACTACATACCCACCACCATCGACCTCATCACCCTTTCCAACCACAAGTCCACCTTCACCTACTTCATCGCCGCCCTTATCATGCTATAGCCCCCATTATTTCCGGAAGGGAATCGTTAAACGGTGAGATTTATGGAGCAGAAAGGGTGAGGAACTATTCTTCTCCAGACTCCAGTACTCTTCAGATTGATAGACTCCTGTCAGCAATCTCAGTACTACCCCACTTCCCCAGAAAGACCCAAAGGAAACACCAGCCACGATGTGTTCGTCTTATAGCAACATTCGACCACTCTTAGACTTCCAGTATGAAAAAAGAGCCATACAGAGAAAGAGTATTTTTGAGCCATTGCGTAATTGGAGAACAAGGCTTTCTAGATGCAAGATGCAACAGCTAGAGTGTTCCTTTGTCTCTTGATTCAATTTCTGGTGGATTCTCTCAAACTAAAAGTCAGACCATCTGTGCACATTTTAGTTTGCAATTGCCATCGAATGTGGAACAGACCTTATCAAGGGAAGAAATACACGTAGTTAACAGCTGAGTGACTCTTTAATTAGTGCGCTAACAAAGCTGTAAGATGAAACTTTGGTGAATGGCCTGGTTTAGTGAGGCAGACACGAAACGAAGCGGAACAACGCTGCACGTGGTTAGGAAGTTCTAGTATAAACCGATAGGAGGCACCTTTCTTGCTGTGGCGAAGGTTGTATTTTAGGTGGGGAGTCGTATTTGGGTTGAGAAAAGTTTGTTTTGATAGTTTCACGGACGCTGTAAAGGGGAGGGATAGTATTGTCGTTGAGAGAGAGGCGCAATATTCCCTTCTGAAACTGCAGGCTTGCTGCTTCTTGCCCCTTCCCCCCAATTTTGGGTGAAAGGCGGAAAATTGTTGGGAAATCCTGGAAAAACCGGTGGGAGTTGGGGGAAAATCTAAGATGGGTAAGTAGGATGAAGAAGGGGGTCGTATTTTCTTCGCGGCTTCTCCCGTTTCACATGTGCTATTTACCCCCCGCCCCCCCCCCCGCTCAACAGCCGATGAGGAGGGCACTAGACGAAGGGGGTCCTTAAAAAAAGGGGGTGGGGCCCTACGAACCTGACCAAATTCCCCAACCAACGATATGCCCTGTTTTAGGCTGCGTTTATATCTTGCGATTCTGGAAAAGAGGTGGCTCAACGATATCTTGGTTTCGGAGACTATGCTGGAAAGATCAGCTACATATCGAGTGACTGGGAACGCCCAATTGGAAACTCACCAGAAAGGTCAACAGGTCGTCATGGCCATTCAGGATGGGATGCATATTGCCGTGTGCGTCTCGGGGCACTGAACTCAAATCTGGTTTCAAAATTTGCGGAACGATTCTCTAGGAGGAGTTAGGGGGGGGGTTCTAGCATAGCACTCGCCGATCCTCCTTTGGTAGCTCAAGTTAAGTTCGAATAGAGATAGACCTCAAGTCGGTAGTCATGCTGTGTGTAGCGGATAGGTAGGTTGCTTCATATATGGGGCGTCATGGATTCGGTTCCTTGACAATTTCGCACTTTTGCATTTTTTCGGAACATCTTCTGCGAGTTCAGAGAATATTCCTATCCGCTGTTTTGTCAAGCTTTCTCTTACTTGCAGCAGGAAAAGACTTGAGTGCCGGCAATCGTGCTTCGCTTTCAGGACTTTTGGGCTCTATTTACCTTTTACTGCCCATATAATGCCGAATCAGGCCAGTTTTTGACAGACCTTTTCCTTCCTGAATGACAGAATTGGCTGAAAAGTTTCGCCCTACTAAGTAAAGTCTGCCCTTCGTAACGTTATTATCACAATCCACGGACGCAAACACCATGTCACAGCGCCAAACGCCAATGAGACCCCTAATCAGCACACACTCTCAGGACGTTGCAACAACTTGATCAGCGGAAGGAGGTAACGTAATTTGACTCCTCGTGGACGCAACATATTCTCGGCTCAGTAGCAACCGAGAAGCCGTACAACGCGTCGGCCACAAGCGACCTCCAATCACGGACGGTGGCACAAAAGCCGAGGTGGGCTATATGCAGTCACGGGTTGATATGGTTGAAATGCCCTTCTTCGACTCCCGGGGGCCACCCTGTGTGCATAGACTCACAGTCGCTTACGTCGTGCTGCTCATGTGTAAACATAGGCGGCGAAGCAATGTCGGGAATACTGGGCCGAGTGCGGGAAGCCCAGTAATCGCACCACTCTTCGCCTGCCGTGCCCTGTACATAGAAATCCTTCCTTTGCTTAAGGCTCAGCCCATAGCACGAGAGAAGGGCCCTCTAGAGTGACGGGTCAGGCGCAGGGAACTGCGCGCAACCAACATTATCCCCTTTTACTCCTAGCGCCAAACATTCTTCAACGCCCCATTAACGGAATGCTATGTGATTCGTGTTAGAAGGTCAAACTGCCCCAGCTCGAGAAGTCCCGATGATATTATGATGATTTCGAGTAAATTTCGGGCACCGCGGTGCCGACCCCGCTGACAAGTTTCTCCAGCAATTTGTTCGCAATTCCCCCTCCATCCAGGTACGTATTACTTCACTTCTCAACCGAGTACCCTAAACTGCCAGCTGTCGCAATACTTAGTGAAAGCGACCTTGAAATGAGTTTGGGTCTGAAGAACGCGGAGAGGAACATCTCACTACCTCTCTCATGGTATTAGACAATTCCATTTTTTCAGTTTCGCATGCTTTTTGCGATACATTTGCTGAGATCCAATAACTTATCCGTGGCCCAAAACACCGACCAGCCCATGCGCATATTAAACCGTTCTTTGGATTCAAATTGAATCGCAACAGAACAGCACAACGCAATCATCAATCGTGGAAAGCTGAAGGACGTTATTGAGGTTATGGAGAACGTTTCAGAACACAACATAAAAACAACAACGAGTTGATGACAAATCAAAGGCACCAAAGCTAGAAAGTGTTCTAAAGCGCAACATCATATGAAGGTGAACAGCCGCATAAATTATCGAGGATTCTTTGATGATTGTGTTTGACAAAAGCGACGCTTCCGCGTTTGATAAATGATTTCAGAATGAAATCGGCTACGCTTCCAAATCACAAGCTCTGTGCAAGAGGTTAGATTTACTTTTACTGAGGCTGCTGAAAAACGCCATGAGGACGTTTTCCGCAAAAAAGTGTTGAGCGTAGTGTAAACCCCATATCGACTATTCTTGCGTAAACTTGGCATTAGGTATATGTGACGAAAAAACCTTTATGAGCCTTTCAGGACTCTCGTACAAAGTGGTGTCTTGGCCTAACGGCTTCGGTTTCTTCCCTTATTCAGAGGCTTGAAAAGTCTCTTGGCAGTTTATTATTTTAAAGATGTTGTCTTCAGGATTTTATAGGTTCATGGGTTGATCAGTTCCAAATGTTTCCCGACTTCTCAGTCTCTGAGTAAGTCGAAGAAGCCGAAGTAAACT